GGAAAAAAAGAGGAACCCCCCGTTTTAACCGGAAAGGCGGGACACAAACCGCCAAAGCCTCAGCCATTTCTGGCCGGCAACTTTCGGCGTCAACGTAACAGTTATGAAGTGTTTATACTCAGCAGTGCAACAAGTAATCAATAATGTTTGTTTTTGTTTTTGTTTTTGCAATTCTGGTTTTCCCTTTATTCTCAAATGTGTACCCAATCCTGTTTATGGGGGAAAAATATAAATATTGGTAAATTCTTATTAAATAAATAAAACAAACAAAATTCTTCCAGACTGGCATTATTTAATAGGTCTAACTGTTTTCTAATAGATCCTTCATACTTTCTCACATTTTCACAAGGATTTCTTTTATTCCATTTATGAAGCAAAATAGTGAATTTGACTAATTTTCTGTTAAATAAAAGGAAAACCTACTTGAACAAACTTCTCAACCATCTCTGAGTGTAATGGCCAAGATCCTTGCTCCACATCAGTAAGATATGCCATACCAGTAAACTGTAAATAAGTGTAAGTTAGTTAAGAGATTTTGCTTGGAGTATTCAGTATAACTAAGAGATCTAAAAATTAAAGCCATCTTCTCTGAAAAATCATCACTTGTTCTTCAAACCTCTCAAGTTGAATTGAATAAATATTTTAACAGCTTTCCTTGTTTTATTTTCCCAGGGATACTATGATTATTAATAAGAATGGATAATCAAACATCAATAGCTACGTTTCTTCTCTGGGAATTCTCAAAGACTCGGGAAATGCAAATTATACATTTTCTTCTATTCCTGGCATTGTATGTAGTGACAGTAACAGGAAATTTCTTTATTGTCTTTGCAATTGTTTTTGACCCCCATCTTCACACTCCCATGTATTTCTTTCTTATGAACTTAGCCATACAAGACATTGGACAAATTTCAACCATTATCCCCAAATCCGTGATCAATTCTCTCTTGACTATCCGAACCATTTCTTATTCCGGATGTGTTGCTCAAGTGTTCTTCTTTATTTGCTTTGTAGGATCTGATATTGCTCTTCTTACCATCATGGCCTATGATCGGTATGTAGCCATTTGCAATCCTTTGCAATATGAAATGCTAATGAATAAGAGAGCTTGCACCAAAATGATTGGTGGTTCATGGATCGCTGGCATTCTCAATGCTGCGATACACACTACTGGAACTTTTATACTTCCATTCTGTTCTAATGTTGTCAATCAGTTCTTTTGTGAAATACCACAGTTACTTAAGATTACATGTTCTGACATATATCTTAATGAAGTTGGGGTTATATTATTTATTGCTTTAATTGTGTGTGGCTGCTTTGTATTTATCATTGTTACATATGTCAAAATCTTTTCCGCTGTTTTGAGAATCCCTTCTGTCCATGGAAGGAAAAAGGCTTTATCTACATGTCTACCACACCTTGTTGTCTTCTCTGTACTTTTATCAACTTCATATGTTGTTTTCTTCAAGTCTCCATCTAGCAAAGCATCACTTTTAGATTTGACACTTAGTATGATATATTCTATCATCCCACCACTGATGAATCCATTAATATACAGCATGAGAAACAAGGATTTTAAAGTTGCTCTTTCAAAACTTTTAATGTAATCTTATTTTTCTTATATGTGGTTTGCCTTTATTATATATGAACAAAGAAAAAAACCCTGTATATTGTAGGGAGAAAAACCAGTGTACAGCTACTTCCCTTATCCAATTGTTCAGGCAAAACAATTTATTTTTCCTTTGAAGACATAATTCCTTCTAAATGATTTGCTGAAAATTCCATATAGGTGGTACAGTAATAGGCCACTGACTCTATGATTCTACCCTTTTCTAATTAATTATTTTTTCCTTCCCTGCTTCCTCCCTTCTTTCCTGCCTGCCTGTCTTCCTCACACACTTATTCTTTCTAACTCTTTCCTCTTCTCTCTCTGCCTCAAAATACAGAGACTGTCAGAAAAGAGATGGTTGTTCTTGCCACTAATCTGAAATGATCTCTTGAAATTACATCATGTGGCCATAAGGACACAAGTTACTTAATTTTGGGTAATGCTTTAAATGCATGTTACAGGTAATTAAGTACTTGGTAAATTTTGTTTCAAACCTTAATTCCACCATAATGTGATCCCCACAACTGAGCACTGCACACCACCATGTACACCATCTCATGGAATCTCAATGCTGTTGGTGCACATTTCAGAGAGGGGATAAGATCTGGAACAAGAAGCATTACATCCCCATATACAGTGAATGTACTTCAGACTTATTGAGTTTAAATAAAATCTTGGTTTTATTCCAGTGTCAACCAGTGTCACTTATATGATTGTTTTCTAATTACTGGAAGCAGTAGTAAAATGTGTAGGTACTGATCAGTGCAGACATATTTATTCATGTCCGTTGCTCCTTTAATATACAGACCAGTGGGAAGAAACATATTCTATAACACCTGTATAATAGATCTTATTACCTGTAATGGGCAGAATGTTGAAATACAAATAATAGAGCTATATAGCAGACAGACCCTTTCTTGGAATCTCAACCATCCCACCTGCATATTCGTGCAATAAGATAGCTGAACCACTCATAGCAGGTTTAGATCTGTATATATATGCTAGCAATAATTGATCAGCAGAACAGATTAGGGGACAAACAGAGATTTGAAAGGAAGAAAATGTAAGCAAAGATAAATCTACACAACTGTGCAAAAGAGTGTGGGATATCTTGCTCCTGGTGCTTCTGCCTATGCTTTCCATGCCAACTTTCCCTTTCTGTTCAAGTTCTCCCAGGGTTTCTGTACACAGAACTTGGGTCCTGTTACAGATGCACCGCCAAGTTCGGCTTATGGTCACACACTCACACACTAACAGCCTGTTGAGGCATGTGGATCTTATAAGCCCCCCTTGCTTTCCACCTGGGTTTTCCAGATATGTGTGGCTAGAGCAGATAAGACACACACCCCTCATCAACAGCCAGGAAATAGAGACATGCACAAGTCAGTTTCAACCAAACATTGAGCCACAACAGGTTCTTTGGAATACGTAGAGATCCAGTGAATTTAAAGTAACAGCAAAACTATACTCTTTACAAGTACATGTGCTCTTTCTCTCTCTCTCTCTCTCTCTCACACACACACACACACACACATGCACACACACTTATCTACACTTACCCACATCCTTCTCAGCTAGGCTGCCAGGCACTAGCTAGAGGGACAGAAATGGCCAAGTCTGGACCCAAAGATGACTCAAAGAGTGGGCAGGCTTAAGGACCCCTTTTTAATCCCAAAAGTTCTTGCTTTGTTGATTAATTGGGATTGGGTGTTTTTTCATGTGCTTAGGCCCAACTTCCTTTGTTTGATTTAGATGACTTTTTTTTCCTTTTTTTCCTTAATGATTTGTTTCTTTCTTCTCTACCTTCTCAAAGGGAACTTTTAGACAAGATGCCTGACTTTTTGTCTTCTCTGCTTACGCACCTGCTTCATCTTTAGTTATGGCAGCTTCAGCCTAGTCTCACAGTCTGAGGCCAGTGGGAAAAGAAATGTGGTCTTTTAGTCCTTGCTATTCTCAAGGCCTACAACCAACATAAACAGGGGGAAAGAAGCAGTAACTTGCAAGTGCAATGGAACAGCCACCGTAGAGTCACCAACTAACATGCTCCTAAAAACTACAGCATGTAGAACATAACAAGGACTAAGGTCCACTAATGTCCACTAATGTATTTGTCTTTAAATGGGGATTATTATTTTTTTTTAATCATAGAGAGTAAGGAAGATAACCTTGATGAAGATATACAAGCTCTGTTGCCAAGGCAACAAGGGGTAAAACTTTTTTTTTTTTTAAGTTCAGAATGTCCAGATAACATTTAGACGTGGCTCAGAGAGAAACGTCCCTGAGCTATAAGAAGGAGAAACAGATACAGCGCAATCAAAATTAGAAGATTCTGTTGTTATACCCAATCTCAATAATAGTAGCTTCAGCCTTCCTGTGGGGGTCATTTCTTGATCTGGTCTACCTAGTGGGCCTGACATTAATGATAAATCAATACATCTACAGTATCTATATACAGTGGTGCCTCGGGTTACGAACGCCTCTGCTTATGAACTTTTCGGGTTATGACCAGCTCTGGCCGCAAAAATTTACCTCGGTTTGCGAACGCCGCCTCGGGGTACGAACCGGATCCGTGGCCATTTTCCACCGTGCCACGTGGTCCGCGGCCATTTTCCGCCCGTGCCACGTGGTCTGCGGACATTTTCCGCCCATGCCACGTGGTCCGCGGCCATTTTCTGCCTGTGCCATGCGGTCCACAGCCGTTTTTCCGCCCATGCCACGCGGTCCGCGGCCGTTTTTCCGCCTGTGCCACGTGGTCCGTGGCCATTTTTCCGCCCTGCCGTGCAGTCCGCAGCCGTTTTTCTGCCCTTGACGTGTGGTCCGCGGATGCCGGAACAGATTAACGGTAATTACATTGAACTTTATGAGAAAATTTGCTTCGGGTTGCGAACAAATCGGGTTGCGACCAGAGTCATGGAACGGATTAAATTTGTAACCCGAGGTACCACTGTACTACTAAAACTCTCATATCTGTTTGTCTGCAACCTTTAACTGGGCAAAATGGTGCATCATAGGCCAACAATTTTTGAACCAAGATACCTCAAATGGACTAATTTACAGAATGTGTCCAAAATCTGGGACCCATGACTCCTGTGGAATTGAAATTTGGCAAATTTTATAAAACATGTTATGACATAAAAATTATCATAGAACATTTTATGACATAATATAAAATGTCAGAAAACATTTCCTGTGGCCAACTCCTGATGTTTGACTGTGCTATACAGTTTAATATGAATGACACGGGCTATTTTCAAGGCAGATACATCTCTGAATATCTCCCTGAATTTTTAAAAAACATTTCCAGTGAAAGCAGTACATTAGAAGCTCTGCCACTGTTGAAGGCATGGAGGAATCCGGTAAGGAAATATCTCTGAAACAATGACTCCACAATATTGACAGGAATATGCTACTTCCAGAAGCAAAGGAGCAAAGTATGGAGAAAAAATATCCCACCCCTCCCAATTCCCTGCCTGTAACCTTCCTGGATGTATTATCTACAAAATGTTATAATATGTGGGCATAAATAATTCTTTGGCCTGATCAAACTAGGCTTTTATAATTTATGTCTTTAGCTCTGATAAATTACACCTCAAGCCTCTCACCCTCATGATGAAGGCAGTTTCATGGAGTTGTTGCCAAGGCATATTTGTGTTGTTGGTGGATGTTAGTGGAGATATCTGTTACTGTATCCGTTACTATATCCAACATTTCCTGTCTTCCTCCTCCTGCCTGCCCAACCTTTTACTTAACAACAAAAAGTAGTTTGTTTGCTCTTTGAAAGTAGATGAGCCAAGCAACCAATGGGCATTTGGGTTTGGATCAATTTACTCTGCCTTGGGAAAATAAATCACTGATACAAATAAATTTGATTCTCCTTGGATACCAACTTCACTCAGTTCCATGGCACAGCCACATTCTGTGTACTTACAAAGTTGAGACTTCTTGTCTATCATCCAATGCAAACCATCTATCTATCTATCTATCTATCTGTCTGTCTGTCTGTCTGTCTGTCCGTCCGTCCGTCCATCCATCCATCCATCCATCCATCCATCCATCCATCCATCCAGTGGTGACAACAGCCTTTTCCTGTCAGGAGACAGAACAGCAGCAAAAAAGAGAGAAAGGAGAAAACTTATTTAAATGTCATGCTTAATGACATGATATTTCAATCTAGAAGAGGAAATGCATGTTTCAAAGAAAACTGCTGAGACAGAAGGTAAATTCTTTCCTTATATGTGTTACGTTTTAGGGAAAAAATGAGCCATTTCTCACTTTCTTAGACAACTTGAATACCTGAAACTTCAACATATTTAACTGTCAATCTCATCAACATAAAGAGATTAACCAGCAGCAAACTGTAGAGCAGTTGGGCTTTCTCAAATTCTGTAATCAAAAGAGACTCTTTTGTCAACTAAATAACTAAAATAGTTTCTGAGAGATCTGATGAGGAGATACAACCTGTGGAAACTTCAAAATATGCTAATTAATCACAATTGTTGAATTTGGATTTGAATTTTAAAATTATAAACTACCACTTTTACTACCCTTACCATCTAACAATATCAAATGGAAAATGTCTTTGCTGAAAATCATGTTCATGTTCCTAAAATGATAACATGTTGAACATTTCCATCCAATTCAAGTCTAAATTATTCAGCATTTGTTGAAGTGTTAGAATTAAAAGGCTAAGTGAAAAAGTGGGGTATATATACGAGAGTGAAGAATATAGTCTAACCGAGACTCTTTATTTGCTCCTTTCCTTTGTCTCTCTTTCTTTTTCAGCATATTCTCATCTTACAAGTGCTCTTAAAGCAAAGGATCTCTCTCCCTCTCCCTCTCTTTTTCTTCTTAGAATCTATTACTTATCTGACAATGCAGCGATAAATGTTGAAGCTGGAGCAGCATGTAAGAACTCAGCAATAGATATATTCTGAGAAAAATGCCCAGATACTAAAAATGTGTGGAGTACTCCAAATCTGGATGACTATGATCATTTTG